TCATTTTACCAGGGGAACCCCGCCAGAAAACCCCGTAGCCGTACCGGTGGAACCCCATCCTAGTTTTGAGTAACATTTTGGGCGGGATTCCTTGTGAAAACCTGGTAACCCTGCTCATTACAGCTGTACTCACATCTGTTATTATAATAATACATTTTATTTATAGGCACCTTTCTCAACACAATAAATTTATAAACAAGACCATAGAAAACAAACAAGAAATACCATATTCAAAGACAGAGTAAAGTAGGAACTTAGGTGAGATATGCAATCTTAAACAGGTGAGAGAAGAAGCAGATCGAAGTGAGCGAGAGGGAGTATGGATATGGAGGAGGTTGGACAGATATGAAGGGGCAAGATTATGGATTACCTTGAAAGTGAACAAGAGAATCTTAAAGTCAATGCGAAACTTAACCGGAAGCCAGTGAAGCTGCTGTAAAACAGGGGTGATGTGGTGAAAGGGGGGATTCTGGCGATAATACGGGCTGCTGAGTTTTGAAGCAATTGAAGCTTATAGAGGGATTTGTGAGGAAGACCAAAGAGAAGAGAATTACAATAATCGATGCGGGCGATGACAAGACTGTGAACAAGAATAGCCGTAGTATGAGGGCTAAGGGAAAGGTGAAGGCGGTTAATATTACGTATTTGACAATAGGCGGACCGGGTGATTTTAATAATATGTGATTGAAATGACAGTGTACTGTCTAGCAGGACACCCAAACTCTTAACCTGAGGAGAAGAGAAGACAGAGGAATTATCTATTGAAAGAGAAAAACTATTTGTTTTGGATAAAGTTGATTTAGTGACAATTAAAAGAAATTCCGTTTTGTCACTGTTTAGTTTGAGAAAATTAGAAGAAAACCAGGATTTAAGTTCATTGAGACAGTGAGAGAAGAAGGAGGGAGAGTGGATTTAGGTTTGCTGGAGAGATAGAGTTGGGTGTCATCCGCGTAACAGTGGAATAGGATGTTGTATTCCCAAAAGATATTGCAGAGAGGAAGAAGATAAATGATGAAAAGAAGGGGTCCCAGGACAGAGCCCTGAGGCACACCAGTATTAACAGGAGAAGGTTGGGAACTAAAAGATTGTAGCTGGGCGAACTGAGTGCGCCTTGAAAGATAAGATTGAAACCAATCCAGAGGGGTGTGAGTGATGCCAATAGAGATTAGTCTATTGAGAAGGATGGTGTGAGAAATGGTGTCAAAAGCCGCACTTAGATCAAGGAGGACAAGAATAGTGACTAAACCAGAATCAGCTGCCATAAGTGACTTTTATAAGTGCAGTTTCTGTTTTATGAAAAGGGCGGAAACCAGACCGGAATTGTTCATTCAGATTATTACAAGTTAAATGAGAGTGAAGTTGAGTAGCAACAATTTTTTCGAGGATTTTGGAAAAGAAGGGTAAATTGGAGATAGGACGGAGATTATTGAAATTGTTAGGATCATCACTAGGGCTGTGCGATTAATCGAAATCGCGATTTGAGACGTTGCGATTTCCTAATCCGTTCCAGAGCATATGCATGACTGCCAGCCTTGAGTTGCAATACTTGCCCCGGGCAAGAGTGAGCGCACCTCCGTTGATTCATCTGAAATAAGTTTATAACGCATGTTGGCTATTATATATACACACTGGCAGTATGGATGAGGCTTGACGCACGCGCGCAACCTGTGTCGACTCGCACCTGGCTCTGCGTTTAAAACTAAATGTAAATCCAGTCTAACTGCTTGCTAATTTCACTTGGATGAAATGAAACATTTAGCACATTTTCCACTTGCCCTTAAAATCCCAAATACTTGAAACGAATAAATCAGCCTATGTAACATATGTAATACTTCAATAAATGACTTAAGAAATACAGTTCATTTATAAAAAATAAATAAATATTTTCTGTGAAATTCAGTAATTAAGTTAATTCTGTAGAAGTAGTTATACCGTTATAATCTTGCCAGCTGAAGAAAACAACAATAGAAACCCTCCCAAAACACAATAACAAATGTAATGGATTTCAGGTTATAATGGGAATTGTATTGGTTTGAATGTAAACTATAATGGTGTCTATTTGATGGATTGTATTGGTGGGATGTAATCTAGCAGATGGCAACCAATAGAACAACAGTAATTCCTATTGGAACACTGGCAGTATGGATGAGGCTTGACGCACGCGCGCAACCTGTGTCGACTCGCGCCTGGCTCCGCGTTTAAAACTAAATGTAAATCCAGTCTAACTGCTTGCTAATTTCACTTGGATGAAATGAAACATTTAGCACATTTTCCACTTGCCCTTAAAATCCCAAATACTTGAAACGAATAAATCAGCCTATGTAACATACGTAATACTTCAATAAATGACTTAAGAAATGCAGTTCTTTATTTATAAAAAATAAATATATATTTTCTGTGAAATTCAGTAATTAAGTTAATTCTGTAGAAGTAGTTATACCATTATAATCTTGCCTGCTGAAGAAAAAAAACAATAGAACCCCCCC